AATATTTTTTTAATATGTTTTTTAATATATATTTTAAATGTTGATTGAGCTTTTTCTTTGTTTAATAGAATTGTTCTTCTTGTAAAGTGTAAATTATTAATAGCTCATGAGTCAATGCAATATTATTTTCATAATGTGATCAATATATATGGTTCATGTGCATTCGCGCGTAATTCAGTTTATTAACCTTCGCGAATATACTAGAAATCTTCCATTCACTCGGTGAACGTGACTCAAGCGACGCATTTCGCTAAAAAATTCCAGATGTCTAAATCTTAAATGTTTTTTTAAGATGTCTTTAAAATTTTGAAACTTAAGATGTCAAAAAATGTTTAACATTGAGGAACCAATGTTTTTTACTCATTAAAAGAACTAACCAATTAAACTAGCTGTAAACATAAAATAATAAAAAACTAAATATTTCATCAATATAAAAGACAGATAAAAAGATAAATTCTGATGATATATAGTCAAATAATTAGTTATTTGATTATGTACCATTAGAATTGTTATATTAATAAATTATTGATTTGTGTAGAACACATTAAAGCTGTCTCGTTGTTGCCCTCTTTGCACATTATAAGCTATATGTATACATTTTTACTTATTAAAGACATTGCAAAGTAAAAAAAAATTTCAGGATCCCCTATTTTTTATACAAGAAATATAATATTAATATAAAATAGAAATAATCAATAATGATTGTTCGATATTTCCCACCTAAAAAATTATAATATTATTCAAATGTTTCTTTTTACAAATCTTTTCGAAATTATAAATTTTTTTTAGATTATTTCTAAATGTCATAACGAGGGAGTAATCATTTAATGTAACAGTGGGACAGAATCCCCGAAATCATTATAAAATTCATATGAAACCCCGATGTATAATCCGATAATTACATATGCAACTACGAGAAATAATTGTGTAATATTAGATAAAATCAATTATTTTATCAAATGACTTCATATATAGTGAAGAAAATTATTTGTTATCAGATCACGTCGCATGAAATCATATATGTAATCTGTGGGACAATATTTCAGCTAGTGGTTGAACATTATGACCTCCTCGCGACATAATGTTTTCTACTTAATATGTACCAGATGAAGAAGATTCTATATCACGCGACCGTTTCTCTTCATTTATAATTTCGCATTGTTTGCAAATAGGTAACGACGATAAACGGGGCGCGCGTCGCGCCCAACAAACGAGACATCGAGATTCCTCAAGGTATCGCCCATGCCGTCGACAGGGTCATGTTCCCGCTGCCAGTCGGTGATTTGGTGCAAACCCTGCAAGCTGATCGTGAGAGGAGATTCACTACGTTCCTCAGAATGCTACACGTGTCGGGCTTGGAGGACACGCTCACAGGTAAATTGAAAATCCAAACGAAAATTAATTTTAAAGAACTCAATTTGTATGCGCCTTTCCTGTCATTCTTGACGTGCAAATTCGAAGAATTATCCCGAATCCTTTTTTAGTATTTTAATGTAAGCTGCTTTTCTAGGTCCGAAGACGTTTACCATCTTCGCACCGACCGATTCTGCTTTCACCGATGCGTCCACAAAGAACGGCGTCCCAATTTGGACCGACGAGGACGGGCCGGAAGCGGCGAAGGCGATAATTTCACGGCACGTCATTCCCACGACTCTTTATACGGCCGGAATGAGATATTACATTCAGAAAGACACTCTTCGCCCACAATCGCCAGTTCATATCCACAAAAACGGCGGTAAGTAAATCAAATGATGTATAATAGTAAAGATTCGTATTTAAAAAAAAAAAAAAAGCGTCATTAAAAAGATAAAAATCAAATAATAATCTCTCAGATGATTAACGTACATTGTTGTTTCAGGACGAGTACGAATAAACGAAGCACATGTTGTAACGCATAATGTGCCAGCAACGAACGGTGTGTTACATGCTATTGACGGTGTTCTATAAAACGATATCATAATGAATGCAAATTGACGATTTAAAATGCAAGTTGCAATCATACAGGTGATAATCGTTTGATAATTTATAACGTTAAACAAATCGTATTTATAATTTTTGAAACACTGAAGAGCTCGATATATCAAGTGAATATAAATTACTTGTGTAAATGCGGCGAAATGTGGCGATTAAATCGAATTGTATCAAAGTGATTATAAACTCTATAAACAGATCGTCGCACCGCACGATTAAATTCAATCATCGACAAATTGAAATGTTATGCCATAGGTGTCGCGAAATCAGAAAAAAAAGTAACGAGACCATTTTAACGTATGTGTATACATATTAATTTATATAAGATAAGCAAAAAAAAAACCAGAGATTCTTATACTCGTGCCATGAAACCCATGAGCACAAGAGTACGGAATATTAATCACTATTGTATAGAATGGTAACACAATACCATGTTTAGTTTGTTCTCATTATAGCTCATATCTTTTTATAAATAAATGTACAGAATATATTTTTGCGATTATATTTACAAGAATGCGTTCCCCAACGTCCTAAACGATACTTAATAATAAAACAAAATTTACATATATCTTTAATATATAATTGTAATCACTAGAATTTGAAGTCCCTGCAACAGTTAATTTCTATATACAATAATATAAGTGATTCTTCTATAGAAAATAATCAATGATTGCCGGTAATTGGGGATTTGTCTTCAGTAATTAATTTCTTCAGAAAATTGCCTAATAATTTGTCTTATACTTCTTAATTTCTACCATTATATGATGGATGTTCGTAAGTTGCGTGCGCGCATTTGTTGGCAAGATCTTATGAAGACGATTATAATATTGTATCAACTGCGTCATTGCACCTTGCACTAGTGTGCTGCCAAGCACCAGGCTGGGAAACGATTGCAACACTTCTCGATTTATTTCTTCTAACGCTCGCTTCCAATTGTTCGTAAAAGATTGCACTAGAGCCAACACTTTGCTCTCCTGTCGTTTCAAATCGTCTATTTGACCCTTTTCGCTCAGAGCCTCTGCTTCCTTCACCAACTGGATTATACTACCAAAGTGTGGACTCAAAACTTCTTCGATAAATTCGGAAGAACGCGCGTTTAATAGTTCCCGAAAGCTCTCTGCTTCCTTCGAGGTTTCTCGTGTCCTTTCCTGCAGTCAAATATCCGTTAATTTTTTCTTAATACGTTAACTTTAATACACTTTTCTATCTTTCAAGTAAAACCTATTTACCATTAATACTCTGAGGACTAGATCATAATTATTGATAAGAAATACTAATTGCTGCGTTCGACTTGGGAAAATAGATGCCATTCTTAACAGGAAACATTGTACAGCTTCTCTCAGCTCTGCCAATAATTGAGTTGTTCCCTCACAAGGAAAACCTTCGACTACACTTACAATTGCGGCGCTAAACTCCGCGTATCTTCTGGTAATCTAAAAATTCATAATTATATAAGAGATTAACACATACATATTTCAATATTATACAGCAATCAAATGCCATTATAAATGATCCATTTGAACACTTACATAATGTGGACCAGTCTCTTTATTGAATTTTGACGGGTCACAGTCTTTTACACTATTTATATTTAATTGAAACACAAATTCAAATCTAAAAAGCAGATATAATTTTACAAATTAATAAGATAATTATTATTGCAATTATTTTTAAATATGTTCAAGTACCTAGGCCAAATTGTGCCAGTTAAAGTCTCCCAGTATTTATCCAATGCTGGCACAGCTCTTTTATGACATATTAATTGATAACGCATCACTAAATGTAGGCAGAGAAATAGAGCAATTGTATCATAACAATCTTCAACAAATGATTGCAAGTTCTTTATCATAAGATTTAACGTTTTCCCCATAACCTATCAAGAGAAAGGAATTATTTAGTTTTAGTACATTTACTCTCTCTAATACATATATTTACTACATCTATCAAATCAATTATTAAATATGGCTCTCTTACCTGATTGAAAATATCTAATGCCTGTACATTACGGACCTTGAAAAATTCTATTAGGAATAGATATTCTCTGCAAGCATTATCAACCAAAGCATATTGTTCACTTCTGAACAGAGCTTCATAATGATACTGTAAGATTATAATACTAATTTAAAAAACATTGAAGAGTAAGTTATAATAGTTATATCATTGGTATATCATACTGTGTCCAGTAAAGATTATAATAACACTAAGGATTGTCTGAATTTATTTGGAAACAAAAATCCTAATACCAAAATATGTCGAGGCTATAATAATTTGAATTATAAGCAAATCATATCTCTTATAAAGTTGTGGTACAATATAAAATTCCAAGCATATCTAAATGTACAAACTTGAGATAATATGATTTGCTAACTTTAAATGCTTTTAATTAAAAAGCTATTATAGCCTCGATATTTTGTATGAATTTTTATATCAAAATGATCTCAGGAATCTATCCTTAAGAATTGTTACTTTACTAGACTTGTATATATCATTAATACTTACTCGTGTTTTAGAAGCTGTGTGTGGGACAATTATAGGTGTTTCCAATTGAGAAGTCAAAACCTGACCCCTTGTATCTATAGAAAAGACAGTACCTTTGTGCTTTAACGTTGTTTTATGAAAAAGACCTCTGCTTGCTGTATCTTCGACTCCCATTAAATCATCCTTTGTCGCTCTCTCTTCAAACTGAGAAAAGTAATTTTATTGTAATTTGATGTTTCAATTTATTTACATAAAATCATTTTTTCTCCATCTCTACCTGTAATTTCATCAACCTTGATGAATAAGACTTGAAATACGAGTAACATATTTTACTCATAGTGTCAATGTACTCTCCGCAAATTTCCTCAGCCACGTTTCTCTCGTTTGCCAAAATAAATTCAAAGAAAAATTTGTATTTTAACATGTTGTTTTGCGGTACTTGATAATTCGTCATTGGCTTCCTAAATTTATAAGTTTGTTCTAGCAAATACGTCCTAATCTTTGCCATTGCTTTTACTTTCAGCTTCTCTAATATATCCTTCACATCTAAACAAGACTTGGCCTCCTTAAAACTTTGTTCTTTCACAAAATTGATTTTGTGATTAAGAGTTTGCAGGTGAATCAAAAATTCCTTTTCAGTTACTGGACACTCCATAATACCACTGTAAGAAAATTAATATAATTAAATATACAAAAATTCAATTTAATATAAAAATTGAGATACATTTAATAAGTTTATCTCTAACATTCTCTTATAAAACGGATAACTTCTTACGAAATCAAAGCCTCAGACACCGTCATGTCTTCAATAAATTGACTAAGTGGACCTCGTATTATTTGTCTATTGGACAGCTGTTGACTCATAGCAACAGACTTGCGTTGCAAAGAAATTATCTCGGAACTTATATTTCCTAGAACTGACTGGAAATTCATCAACATTGACTCCATTTTCTATAAAAAGTGATATGGAAATCTATATCTAAATGTCTCTCTGAGAAAACTTTGCTTGATTAGTAATATTACTTTGCAAAGACAAGTTATTGGAGTAGACTGTACAAACACATTTAATACATACATCAATGAGATACTATTAAAAACTATCTACTTAAACAAATTTCCTAGAATTGAAGAATATTAATGTATTATTGACCATCAATATAAGTTTTTGACATAAATATCTAAATAATATTAAATTTACTATTTACTATTGTTTATGTTTCATATTTATGTTTGTTTCATAAATAAAAAATATATATTTTTTTATGAATAATTATTAATTATATACATTGCCATAAAATTAAATTATCACTCGTATGAATAAATCAATCTTCCTCTCCTAAATGTTAATAATAAATAATTATAATTTTAAATAAAAGTGAAATATTATTGAGTCATAAATATGTACATGTTTATAAAATATAAGGATAATAAATCATAAAATTAATATTTATGTTATATCTAATTATATAAATATATATTCAATTTTCTAAATTGTAATTTTTTCAAAAATTAAAATTTAGAAAATAAATTATCTAATGAATTTCCAAAAGACTGTCGATCTTTAATAGTATCTTATCAATAAGATATTATTTTGCATCAAATCACACGTCGTCAACACGTCATCCGATGCAACAGTGAATTCTAACCTAACCTAACCTCCAAGATATTATCACAAGCAGCGATTTGATTGTGTAGACTAGCTATATTCTCGCTCTCCTTGATGTAATCTTGAATCGACTTGTTCTCAACTTCCTTGAGCTCCTTCTCGATCTGTCTGGAATACTCGCGCAAGTCGGTGCCAGTCTTGAGGACTTCCTGGACGACATCGTCGCCCAGGTCTTGCGGCAATTGTTCTTCATTGTCAAAAATATCTATCTCAGCCATTTTTCGAATCCTTCCATGCAATTGCAACGCAATTGCTAAATACAACACGATTTAATATACAACTCGATATATACAATTCAATTACACAACCTGATGATCGTTTCCTCTACTCTATAGAGATGTCTAGAGAGCAAGAAAGCTTCAACCGCGTCTAACCTCAAATTATTGAGGTTGTCAACATATCCCAAAACGACTCCAAGCTCAGCTCCAGTTTCTGCCAAACGGACAGCCAATAACATGGTCGGCGTTACGCGGCTCGTCCAATGAGCGACCTGAGTAATCACATGATTCACGTGACCACGTGTGCGACGATTCCCCAGTTCGGCTTGTTTTCGACCTAACCAAAATTGATCTAAATTCTCACCGTTTATCCCTGTCAATTTAACGAACTTTATATTTAGTTTTTTTTTTCCTTTCAATGTGACCTGAGACAGCAATAAACGATATAACGTTCACAAAATTTTCGTCAGGACTTTCCAGTCGGGGATTTCCAGAGTTCATGGGAGATCATTTTTAATTCTTGACACATACGTAGAAAGTACAAGTTTTATCTGTGATCTGCTCTTTTGTAATCTGTATCTTTTTTTCCCAATTGTGTTCCGCGTTAGATACGGCTGTGATTTATATATAGCGTCGATGACTCGTTCAATCGCAGTTATGCCCGAGTGCTCGAGAACTAAGAAATTCATGAAAAAGGCCAAAGGTGGATTTTGGTACAAGCGTCATGGTAACAGAAATGATCAAAAACGTGGCGTGCACAAAGCGATTTTCTTGACAAACGAGACGTTCATTGCTCGTTATGATGAATTAACGGAGCTCAGCGCGCAGCTCGCAGCTAATCTCAAGATCTCCAAGAGTCTTCAGTCCAAAAGGAGAAACACAAAATACAACGGGATCATAGCAGTTAAAACCGAGAAACAAGCCATAAATTTCTCAATTGCTGTGCAAGATGATACGATGAATCCTACGCAACTTGCAAGCAGCTCTCAGACTTCCTGGAGTTCTAAATTGGAAGCAAAGAACACGAAGCATAATATAGCATCAAAATGTAAAATGTCTGTGAAAGAAAAAAAGAAAGGTGATAAAACGATGTCAGATAACAGCAAAGACAGGACTAAGAATTTAGTTAATCAGGTTGGACATATAACACATATCTTTCTCTAATCTTATCTATTATCATCTGAGGAATATTATTCTTGTTTATATAAATATTTAGCAACATAGGCAGTTATTGACAGTTATATATCTTTGTCTACAGAATGTTTATTTTCTCTTGATCACCTCTTATCTTTTCAGATCAAATTAAAAATATGTTCAGACAAAAGTTGTATGATCTGATGGGGCACAGATAACGATAAAATCAATTTACGAACAAATTGATTTTTTATAATCATATAAATTTTTTTTTAATGGAATTGTTACTTTTTATATAATATGATTTTTCTCTAATTATTCTGTATATTAAAGTATTAAGATAGAAAATATCGAGAAATCAATAGTTTTATACTGGCATATTTTAACATAAAATGTAAAATATCTTGTAATTATTCATTTTTTTATAATCGAACCTTAATACTTTTACGCATAGAAGACTGAGATGAATTAATTAGTGTAAAAAAAACACAGTTGCTTGTAGTTGCATATCTCAAGTAGCATAATTTTGAAAACTGATTGTCTTATTCTGTACATAAAAATATTAAGATATAATTATAAGAAAATAAACAGTTTACAAGATACTTTTTGTTTTATGTCAAAATTGAAGTATAAAATATCTCGTAAACTGTTGATTTTTTCACATTTCTTGATACTTTAAAAGCAAAATAATAAAGAGAAAATATTATTTTTTTTTTAAATCGTACAATTTCATTTAAAAAAATGACTATAACTTTTATATGATCATGAAAAATCAATTTTTCAAAAAAATTGATTTTTTTATTTGTACTCTGTCAGGCTATACAACTTTTATCTGGTCATATTTTTTATACAACCTTATTCTGCAAAGATAAAAGGGGGTAACGTTAAGTGGAGTTACTACACCCCTGTGTAGTAAATCTTACAAAACTATTTTATTTTATTACTCTATTAACAGTAATCATTTTTATTAGGCCAATACGCAACATGGTAATAAAGAAAAATACTTGAAATTAACAAGGGAAAATACAAAAAATAAGACAGAAACAGAAAACGAATCAAATACAGAGAATGTATTGAAAAAAATGTATAGCGAAGAAATAATGAAAAGCGATGCAAAGAAAAAAAAGAGTACAAGGAAAACATTCAAGAGGATATTTTCAAATCATATACCTGTGTCAAAAATGCTGAATATTTTAAAAAGACAATCGTCCAATAGTACACAATATGTAAAAGGGAATCTCCGTATAAATCCTTTTGCTTGTAAATACGCTTATTTAAGTATGTCTAATGAAGAACGCGACCTGCTAATCATAGGTATATCGAATAGAAATCGTGCTTTTGAAGGAGATCTAGTTGTGGCATGTGTAAACCCTGAAAATTTGTGGCGTACTTCATCTGATGGAGAAGTACAAAAGACTGGTAAAATTGTTTGTATATTAGAGAAAGTACATTCGAGACGAGCAGTCGGATATATTGTAAAGAAACATGATTCGCTGCTGTTGTTTCATCCAAGGGATCATAGAATACCATTAGTTGAGATACTTCCTGAATCAGTACCACCTTCATTTCGCGATCAATCAGAACTTTTCAAAGACATGATATTTTTTGTTTGTATCGATTTGTGGGAGCAGCTACATGCGTTTGGGTAGGTATATGTACTGTATTGTGCAATACACATATCTAATATATAAAGTAATGTTACAATTTTAAAGCATTAATTTTAAAGATATATTATGATACATTTATATTGACATTTCTGTCTTCTGTTATTACTGATTGTCTTTATGTTATATACATTATATTATTTACAGGCGGATTCTTTCAGTAGTGGGTAAACATGGCGAAATAAATACGGAATTAACAGCAGTAATACTTGAAAATGATTTAGATTTGTCTCCATATCATGAAAACCTATTGAAAGGACTTCCAAGTAGTGATTACATTTTAACGGATGCTGACATGAAAGATAGAGAAGACTGGAGGCACGAGTGCATTTTCTCGATAGATCCTGCAACAGCTATTGATATAGATGACGCCCTTTCTTGCAAAATCTTGGACAATGGAAACTATGAAGTAATTGCGATATGTTAAATTTGGCTGTAACACATATGAAAGGCATCTAACAAATCATTAATTTCAGATTGGTGTACATATATCAGATGTCACGCACTACTTAAAATTTTCCTCTCCATTAGATAACGAAGTTTTTAAACGAGCTACTACCATTTATCTGCCACATATGACTTCTCATATGTTACCAGAGGCATTGTGTAAAGTTTGTTCCTTATTTTCTGGTAAGGATAAATTAGCCTTTTCTGTAATCTGGGAAATAACACCAGAGGCCGAAATTGTGAAACACCGTTTCGCAAAAACTGTAATAAGATCATGTTGTCAAATGTCCTATGACTCGGCTCAAGCTATGCTCGACGATCCAAAAAAGTCTTGGCCCAAAGATTTCCTAGACATAAAAGGAGACTATACCGTATCGTTATTGTCTGACCTAGTGAATAAATTATTTAAATTATCCACCCAGTTGCAAAACAAACGATTTAGTCATGGGGCTCTGAGATTAAATAAACCAACGTTACAGATACGTATAGATCCCGTGCTGAGTCAAGAACACGGGATTCCGATACCTGTAGACTATTATGTAGATGAAAGCACCGATAGCCACAGGTGGATTTTTCAGTTATTAACATTTACTGATTTATATATATTATTACATTACTTAAATTATGAAGAAATTAATTTCGTTTTTAATCATTAATTACCTATTTTAAATGTATGTATTTCAGTCTTATAGAAGAATTTATGCTGTTGACAAATATGACAGTCGCCGCACAATTGTACATGGCAATTCCTAAAACGGCTTTATTACGTATGCATAAAGATCCGCCCAAGCAATGTCTCAGTTCACTTCATGTTATGTTGCAAAAATATGGAATTCATTTGAATATTGAAACAGCTGGCGACTTACAGGCCAGCATCAGTCGCTATGAATCAGAAAATAACTCTACGGTCGATTCCATGAAATATATTACAATGGTTATCATAAACCTATGTTCAAAGACTATGGCAGTAAGAATTTTTATTTTTCTTGTCATATAATTTGTAAACATTATACGATAGAAATAAATAGCAAGGGAGAATTTGTAATTTGATAATTCTGTAATATTGAAAATTTTAATCTTCAGCGTGCAGAATATATATGCGCATCTACCATTTCGCCGTATGATTTAAAACACTATGCATTAAATGTGCCTCTTTATACGCACTTTACCTCGCCCATTCGAAGATATGCCGATTGCACAGTTCATCGTTTGCTTAGTGCGACGCTTGAAAACAAACCTTTACCAGAAAAATGGACGGTCAAGTTGTGTTCCAAGTACGTTAATGATGCAATATGAAAGTAGAATATAACAAAATTTGCTTCAATAAATAACTTTTACTTCAATTTGTGACAGGATTGCAGCCAATTGCAATCTAAAGAAATATAGTGCGAAATTGGCTTACGAACAGAGCACGGAGGTATTCTTTGCATATATGGTAGGCCTTGCAGGTGGCTTTACTACGATAGCTACTGTATTATGCGTCAAGGGAGACAGTATAGAAGTTATTCTCTGTGACACTGGCGTAAAATTAAAAGTAAAATTTAAAGACATAGAAGACGTTGCCACATCGAAGTATTCTGCAGATCATGTACCAACTGTAACTGTTAATTGGAAGGAACCTCCTATTGTACAGGTATTATCGTAATATTTTATATAGTGTAATAACAATATATTATCTATATGGTTATTTTAATATCTTACAAATATCTATTTTAGGTAATCAATTTGTTTAGTTTGGTGCATGTACGGATAACAAAAAATGAAGAATTGCGTATAAAAGCAATTCTTTTACCTTTACCACAACAACAGACAGATCTAGAAAGAAAGATTTCTAATTAATTTTATAGTCATCGACTATGATTTGTGACGAAATTATATGTATGACGAAGAATTTTCTAATAATTTATGAATATTGTGTGCGCGCGCGTGCGCGTGTGTGTGTGTGTGCGTGCGTGTATATGGAGAAACATTAATTGTATATAAGAATAAACAGAGGCTTAAAAACAAAATAATAACAATAAAGGACTACAAGCCAAGTTGTAGTCCTACATAATTGTGTACTAATCGTTATGAAATAGAATACATAATTATTAAATGATAAAAGCAATGACAAATTAGTTGAACTAAAGACATAATTTTTATACAAATAAAACAATAAAATTAATAAGAAAAAGGTTTATAAGCAATCAAGAGTTAACGCGGTTATTAGTGCGTAAAGGATTCAATAGTATTAATAATTAAACATCCATATAACGGTTAATTATAATACAGAAGCTTCCGAACGTTACATAATAATTATAAAATAAAATACAAACATTTCGATTTCTATCAGATCATCTTCGGTGTACACATAAGTAGTTTATTTGAAAAATAACGATAAAGCTGTCTACATAGTATAACGTAATAATTATGGATCATGTTAGTTTTTTCAGTTTTATACTCGTGATAATTGGATCATGAATTACTTAATGATTTGAGCGTCAAAATTCTGGAGGAATTTATGCACACACACACACACACACACACACACACACACACACACACACACACACACACACACACACATTTGAATGCATATGTAGCTATACTTGTTATAAGTTTTGTGAATAGTTTTGACATTTTAAAGTAATAACTGACTTATAATAATGCGAATTTTGTTATATATTAAATCATTGGAAGTTGTTTATGTGTCACTAAAGATTGCCTGATAGAGACCGAAACGTGTATATTTTATTTTATAATGATTAGTACATTTATATAACACTACAAAACCTAGCTTGACTTGTAGTATTATTGTTATTATTTTAATTGTATAAATTTTGGAGGATTACAGATTACAATTACTACAATTAATTAAAATACGAACGATACAGTGCATGTGATACAGTGATTACTGCTGCACTGAGACTGCAATAAAATCAATTTTAAACTTTTATCTCTGTACGGTAGATATTTTTATTATATATATTCGTTTCATTTGTATTGTATATATTTCGTTTTATTATATATATATACTCATTATTATTATATCATTGAAAATTATACATAATCATTATTATTAATGATATTGATCATGTAGAATTATCATACTATATCATTATGGTTAATAATAATGATTATATGATATAACATATATATTTCATTAATATTATTTTAATATAATAATATTAAATGCATTATATATTCCATTATTACTGAAAAACTTGTATAATACATATACAATTTAATTTTAAATTACAAATTCAGACGATAAATTTTTACCACTTAAAATTTTACAATTTGTGATCCTCCAAAAAAAAAAAATTAAATTAATGAAATTAAAGAATTTTTATATTTGTACATATCTGACTTCTGCTTGTTATTTATGCAAAAGCTTACTGAGTGATTACTAAATGTGTTATTATTTTTAGTAAATAATGTGAAATTTGATTGCAAAGAATATGTGAGAATAATTTGTAAAAGGAATATACATGTAACTTTTATACTAGCGCATCATATTATTTTATAAATAAATATTGAGATATGTATATACATACGGACAATGTATTATCTTGTTATAAAATATTAGTTTATTGTAAATGTTTTGTACATACATGTACATACCGTATCATCAGGTATTTACACGTGATTTATGCATAAATATTAGAAATAATCAATCCTCATGAATAAAAACAAAAATGTGATTAAGTATAACCCGTGTATGAAACTTTAATTTGCAAACATTTGAGACTATAGCAAAAATATTTGATTACAGTCACTAGTCAAATGTATGCAGGTTTATATAAATTTTATTACATAGAGATCGACATTATAATCTAATATGTTAGATAACAATGACCACGACGTGTACTTTCATATTCCTTTTTTTCATTAATCTCTTTCTCTAATATCTAAAAGAATTATCGAGAGGTTGTATTCTGTACATTTATATTTGTAATATTAATATTTATATTTCTGTATGCCTATTTTATAACTGCCTAATATTAACCGTTGGGTTACACGGTTTTATATTATTCTTACGTAACGACACACATTAGTGATAGTTACATGAAGAATATAGATACGTTAAGAAATTATAGAATAGGCACAAGATGGACTACGTCAGAATTTTGGAATTTGTAACAAAGAATAAAATTATATTTGCTCAACATATCTATTATAATTCTTAACTTTTGTCATTCTTCATTGCTGCAAATAATGCAATTGAAATCTCTTTCATTATTTGTTAATCAAGATAATTGGTATATATATATGATGTTAAAACTATCAAGCATCAGAGTGAAAAGCGATACTAGATAACAGTCTTTGATTTATTCGGTATCGCTTTACATTAAT